TTACAAAAATGAATGAACGAAAATTATTGTGGCCAATCGTGCCACGTAGGACGGCCAGCGCGGCTGACGCCTACACAATCATTTCTGGCCAAAATTGGTTGGAAAGATTAAATTGACAAATTGGGATAAAATTGGCCAAATTAAAAGGTTTATGATTGAATTGGCACGAGTGTAATAGGTTTAAGATTTTTTCGGTAATTTCCCCCACCTTTACTACCATCGACATGGCAGCTTTCATGTACTTAATCCAAATTACTAAAACAAGTAGGATGAGGTTGAAATATCTGTAAACTTTGAGCTGCAAGAGGCATGATTGACTCACTTTTCTATCCATTGACATTACTAATAGCATCGCTTAATGACACAAATTGTCCCTAAAACTTTGGCCCTATATGCAATATGGTCCAAATTTTTAATTTGTTCAATGTGATCCTTAAACTTTAGCCTAATAGGCAATATGGTCCCTAAACTTTTAATTTGTTCAATGTAGTCTCTAGACTTTTGGTGCATGTTCAACTTAATTTCCGGACCATATGAAAATGTTCAATGTTGTCCTTCCATTAATTCAAATTCAGGGACAATATTAAATATATTCATATAGTCGGGGGATTAAGTTGAACACGTATTAAAAGTCCAGGGATCACATTAAACAAATTGAAAATTCAGGAATCACATTGTACATTGTGCTACAGTTTAGAGACCATTGAACAAATTTAAAATTTAGAGACTATATTGAATATTGGGTCAATGTTTAAGGACCATTTGTATCATTTTCCTTTATTCTTTGTCTGCAACTATGAACTATATAGTGGACCGTTCTCCGTTTCGATGCCACATACGTTTTCTTGTTTTCTTCATTCCTCTGTGGTCTTCTTCTGCTTTGCAGTACCTTCTTCCCCGCGCAACTGTGCTACTCCGTGCAATCTTGGACTTGCTGTTCAGCACTCAGCAAGGCATGGAGTCGTTGAGCCTACCGTATGTGAAGCATTCACGTGAGAGTCCCCCTTCAATTTAACAAATCCTTTTGTCCACCTAATAATATCATTTGTGCATCCAATGTTGAAACTATATGCTAAAATGGCTTATAGTGCTAACCATAAGCCGACTCTATTCATGTTTCAGAGAGAAATAAAATAAGTGATAAGCAGCCCCTTTGATAAGGGGCAAAGCATACATTATTCTTAAAATAAAGAAGTCAGATATGCAAACGCGAATGACATAGGGCAAATGTGCAAGTTAGGTGCTACAGTAATGTTAGGTGAAGAGATGCTATGGCAATGAAAAGTCTCACTGGGCAACTATTAAAGGATTCTTTTATCGTATCCCTTCAAATCTATGTACTTTAATGTTTTACATGTTCCCATATAGTCAGGTCTCTACGCTCGTATCCCTTATTATAAGACATTATACATACGTACACATGCACATATATATATATATATTTGATCATTGAAAGTATTTTTTGTAATTTGTAAAATACATGGCCAGATTGAAATGAAAACTTTCTTCTCTATTAATGGTTCGGAATTTGAATGTAGCCATCAAAATGAAAATCATATACATGGAGTATCTTAACCCGGCTTCAAGTATAACATTTTTTACACCATTAGTTTACCAAATAGAAGTCATTGATCTTATTGAATCTTTCTTATGAGAGTTAAGATCTCACTATCGATTAATCGCCTAAATCCAAAAGTTTGGCAATAAAATTTTTCTTGTAGTCCGATCGATAGATTTAAAGTACAAAAAAAATTGTCATTTCGATTTTTATGTTTCTTTTTCCTTCAAATTTGAGGGCACCCACGATTCCCAGTAGTGAGTCGTCCGCATATCGCTAACAAATCATCATCAAGTATTTTCTTTTTGAAGGAATCATCTATAGGAGTTAACCCGTGATTTGTACTTTTCTTTTTGGTCTCTTGCTAAGACTAGTACCATGGTCGTGAAAGGCATCTCGTACTTTATTTGCATTCAGACACAGCATCTTCTGGTGTGGTTATCCACCCTCTTATTATATATATATATATATATATATATATATATATATATATATATATATTCTTTGGTATCAATATTTTCAACTACCCAAAAGGTTGACCAAGATTTGCGTGTGAGGTCTTCCTACTTTTCAAACACTCGAACTTCCCAAAAGCAAAAAGTTTGGGAGAGGACCAATGAAAAAATTAGGTATTGCTATGGATGATTCCATCTATTAGAAACCATCACTTAAATTAGCATAGTGCCCAACATTGGTAAAGAAACACATGTAGGACACGTACTTCTAAACTCTACATCACGTCTTTTTTCATTAGCAAGAGAGGAAAATTGAATTCCAGCATCGGTTAAATTAAGTATAATACATGTTCCTATAACACTCGATAGTCACATCGGATCTTGCGGTCGTGGCCTATACGAACTTCTTTGTTATGCGAAATCATTCGCCCCTCCCGAATGGTTTCGCTCGAGTCGTTTCTATTGGCTATATTTTTCCGAGCAGATTCCTCTTTTATATATCCATGCGTGACTAAAAGGATGGTGTCGGGCTCAATTAACCTATGCTCCACTATCGATCGAACACCAATTGCAGCACTAGGCAGCAGACATTCAACTAATACGATTCATCAGCTGAAACTTCCAAAACAGCACCTAAGCAAAGCCAAATCAAGATCACCCACCACAGGCCAAAGGGCAGCTCAAGAAAAAACACTTTCGAGGAGGGAGAAAGGTTGGACCATCAAGAACGAGACAGAGAGAGAGAGAGAATATGATGGTTCTTGACGTGAATTGTCCATCAATTAGCGACGGCTAAGATGAGGCGAGGGGGGTGGGGCTCATCTAGCGACGGCGACGGCGACGGCGGTGATGGCGACGACGATGACGGCGACCGATGTGGTCCACCGCAGCGGCTGCGACTCGATGTTTTGAATGCGGTAAAGTCCAACGCCCTACAACGTTCCTAGCGATCAGCCACTTGTCGAATCGTGGTGGGATTAGAGGAGGGATCCACCTTTCTTCTAGATGGTTTCATTTTGAAGACTTTCTGATGCTTCCTTATCCATAAAGTCAGCCAAAATTGTTGACTTTTTCAAACGTTGTTGAAAGGAAAGTATATATAATTTGATTTTCTCTTGGGATATATGGATGGCCTATAGAGTTCCCAAGATTCCTTCTTATCATGGAAAAGGAATCCAAGGTGGCTTTTGTTGCTAATAGAAAAAAAAATGATAGGTGATGAGAAAAGAAAAAAAAGTAACCAAACATCTCAGATTATATCTACTGCGACATATTTATCATGATTTTTATTTTGTGTGACAAAAAAACAAAAGTCCAAATTATACCCATTGTGACATATTTACCCTAAACTTTTTTCGTAATATAAAAAATCATAAACTTATACCTATGTGACACATTATCCTCTATTAAGGTTCTATTAGATGATTTTCCAGCCAGAACAACGTCGTTTCTATTTCATTGACGGGACCTTAACGGAGGGTAAATTTGTCATGTAGATATAAGTTTTGGGTAAATGTGTCGCGGTAGGCATGGTTTGAGGTTTTCGGTGGCTTTTGTCCATTAGAAAAATATGTAAAATCTAATATTTAAAAGGATTATAAAATAGGACATGCTGTATCATGTGATTAATTAATATAATTCATCAACTTATCAATTACTCAGATCTTGATTTTTATTCCAGTAGTCGATACACGAGGGAGCTGACTCTTGTTAAGAGCTCCGTGGGAATACATTTGCAGAAGAACCAGAGTCAGTATAGAAGTATTATTATATGATAATGAAATTGCCCAATTTGACCGCAAGGAAGCGTGCCTTGTTGGCACGACTTTTGCATTTCAAATCTACAGAACTTTCAACTCTCAATATGAACTACCAACATCTAATGAGAGGATTATACCATAAAAGTCTTAAATTTTATCTATGAGATACAATCGAACCCTAAAATTTTCAATCGGTTAATCCTAAACTCTTAGAAAAAAAAAAGAGTGCAATTAAGTCATAAACTTTTCAACTGTTCAAAAAAGTCTTAAACCTTTACCGAAACAAGCAATTGAATCCTAAACCCTATAAAAAAAAATGCAATTCATTGACGAGGCAATTTTTAAGCGACTTGAAGGCAATTTTAGGTACTGTTGATCGAAGGGTCTTGATTGTGCTTTTAACAATTGGTGCAGAATTTAATTTGTCCGTACATAAGGTTTAGGATTTCTGGAGAAGGTAGAGAATTGCCGGGCAAGACAACATTCGTAAAGCTCTAGAGGTGACAGATGAATCCATTCCAAGATCGACCTTAACAAAATCAAGAGTTGAGTGCGATATATCGTTCATTTCTTTATCGATTGGGTATAGTTATAAGCCCAACAATGTTATTCAAAATACGTTAGGAAACAAGGATTACTGGTACAACAACTACACTATTTCTCGTGCTATAGAGCATCGACTTGTTTAGAAAAATCACATGCGAACAGCTAATTATAAAATTTCTTTAACAAGAAATCCCTCACTTAAGTGCGTGTATGGCAGGGTTACGATAAAAAGGACTAAACGAAGAGACCCAACAAATTTGGGGGATGCTCAAGGCTTCGAGCCAAAGACTTCTTTCCAATGTCACCCAATTCTGACCGTTACACAAAGTGGACTAATTTAATCGACGGAAAAATTTCAAAAAAAAAAAAAATTAAAGAGGTAGCGTGATTACAAGTCTGAATAAGCACACGATCCTCACTTTTGAAAAAACGAAGAAGATAAATTAAAAAAAAAAAAAAAAAGAAACCTCGAATGTCTTTTCCTTTGGAACCTTCTGCGGCTTCCCCCGAGCCCACGTGGCACATCATTACTGTACCGACAATCTCTTTGCATCACCCCATACGAAAATTCACACGAACCTGCTGTCCCCCCCCGGGCCCCACAACACCTTCGCCCCCTAAAATTCCACATCCTCTCTCTCTCTCTCTCCTCTCCTCTCCTCTCGTTCAACGCGCCTCTTTCTCTCTCTACATCTCTCGTTTATATGCTCGCAGGAGACGCTCCCCACAGCACAGACCATCCCCACAGCTCCCTCTCTCTCTCTCCCCTCCGCCGCCGGACGCCGCCGTGAACTGCCATGCTCCCTCCGACCCAAGCTAGCACACACTGACAGCTGATCACCCCTGCGGTCCGTACGAACCGACGGCGACGACGACGTTCGGTCTCTTCACGATGAGCTCCTCCCAGAATCTACCTCCCTCGCGGTTGTCGCTCGCGCTCCTGCTCCTGCTCCTGCTGTCATGCGCTTCCGCGCCGCGCGCTGCCGCGCAGACGGGCGGCAACACTCCGGCCGACGCCCAGGACCCGTTAGCCTACAAGCGCTTCAGCCCCTCCATGGCCGTCATCGTCGTGGTCCTCATCGCCGCCCTCTTCTTCATGGCCTTCTTCTCCATCTACGTCCGCCACTGCAACGACGCCAACTCCTCCAGCATCCGCCGCCCCGGCGGCGGCGGCGGGGCAGCCGGGACCGGCCGGTCGAGGCGCGGCGGCGGCCCCCGGGGCCTCGACCCGGCCGTCGTCGCGACGTTCCCGACGATCGTGTACTCGGACGTGAAGGGACTCAAGATCGGGAAGGGCGCGCTGGAGTGCGCGGTGTGCCTGAACGAGTTCGAGGACGACGAGACGCTCCGGCTGATCCCGAAGTGCGACCACGTGTTCCACCCCGAGTGCGTCGACGCGTGGCTGGCCTCTCACGTGACCTGCCCAGTGTGCCGCGCGAACCTGGTGCCTCAGCCCGGCGAGGCTCCGTTCGAGCTGCCTGAGCTGACCAGCGAGCCGGAGCTCGCCGGAGAGGACGAAGAGAACCGGAACCGGGACGGGGATCTGGAGCGAGCGATCGCGACGTTGGAGCGCGAAGACGACGAAGCCGAAGTCGCGGCGGACCGTCAAGCGGCTGAGCCGCCACCCGACGTGGTGGATCTGAACAAGACGCTAAACCGGAACCGTACGCGCACGGGGTCGCGATCGAGCAGGATGGCGCGGAGGCTCTTCTTCCCACGGTCTCACTCGACGGGCCACTCGCTTGTCCAACCGGGCGAGGACACGGAGCGGTTCACGCTGAGGTTGCCGGTCGAGGTGAGGAAGCAGATCGTGAACCGGCAGCTTACCCGGGCGATGAGCATGGTGGTGTTGCCCAGGGAAAGCAGCTCGCGGCGAGGCTATCGGGCCGGTGCCGGGGAAGGGAGCAGCAGGTTCGGCAGGTACTTCAGCTTCCGGCGGTTGGACCGGTCCGACCGATCCGAGCGCGGAGCTAAGTCGGACCGGTGGTTCTTCGGGAGAGTCACGCCGCTGTTCTCGAGAGCACCATCGTTGAGGTCGCCGAGGGTGGCGGCAGCCCGTGACGACGGAGGAAGCTTGGGTTCCCAGTGGGGCGGGACGGAGGCGGCTACATCAAACGGTGAACCACCTCGCCCGCCGGTTTAATTGCCACTGAGCTCCATTCTTTTTTCCTCCGCCGGAGCTGCAACGTTGATGGCTTTGTCAACTTGTAAAATGCAGATTCTTTATTTATTTTTTCTTTTTTTTGCCTTTTTATTTTTTCTTGTACTTTATTTTCCTTTTTTTTTGTTTCATTTTATGTTCTTTACTTAGCGCCCGTGAAATCGGGTGTATGGCCAACTGCCGAGTTAATGAAAAGAAAGACTAGGGTTTCCTCGCAAGCATGTGACGTTGATACAGTTGTGCTTGAGCTTGAACTAGCCTAGTTTTCAGAGTAACAACCTTTTTTTGTGGTTGGTTTATGAAGAGATTATGTTTGGTACATCAAAATAATTTTAAAATCACTAATTAGGTTATGGTTTTAATTGCTTAATTATAATCGAATGATTCTAGTGGACCGATGAAAGAAACTAATGTGGCTTTACTTTTGAAAGAACATCGACACGTGATTAAGGTCATTCGTGAACCTTCTTTTTCTAGTGAAAGTTGTCCAAAATATCCTAAACATACTATGCGGCGGCTAATTCAGTTTAAAACTTTTCAATTTGGCCAATTTAGTCATGAATCTTTTAACAATTTAGGAATGTGGCCCTTCTTACCAATATTAGCCGAAAATCGTTGACGTGATGGTCCAATCAGCGTTGGCTGTTCTACGTGAACGATTTTTACAATTTTTTTCTTTTTTTCTTTTCTTTCCATTTGTTTCCTTATTTCCTTTTGTTAGTCGCCGGGCCTCGGCGGTGGCTAGTGAGGATTACAAAGCCCCTCGCCAACGGCCGGTGAGGGCTGGCGAGGGCAATCCTCGCCTATGGTCAGCAATGACGGAGGGAAATAGGAAAAAAAAGAAAAAAATAATAAATTTTAAAAATTTGTGAAAAATGTCAATGTTAATGTCAGTTGTGTCATGTAGTGGGATGGCTGGCATCTACATTAATGATTTTCGGCCAACATTAGCTGGAATTATTACAATGGCAAATCGTTAAAAAATTTTAAAACTAAATCAGCCAAATTAAAAAGTTTAGGATTAAATTGACCGCCATACAATAAGTTTAGAACTTTTTGCACAATTATCCCACTTTTCCTCTACCGTACCAAATCACGTATTTCGCAATAATACTCGTACATAAATTATGCAATTTTATCAGCGGCCGTGTAGTCTCTTCGAAGGTTTTCCCAGATGTCTACATTTCCGCTGCTAAAGGAAGCAGGGGAAGTACATAAATAGTTCAAAAGAAACGGAGAAGATGGACCGAGTCCTGGCCGCGTTGTTGAACGGGTCAAGAGGCATCATTCGTTCGGACGACATAAGATAATGGAGATCTTGATTTTGTCTTCAACTTTGGAGTATTCTCCGGATTCTTTTCTGTCTTCTGTTTCTTGAATTTCTAACACTAAGCAAACATTCGTTGAGTAAAGTCAAACTTCTCCTGGTACATTGTTCTTGTTACATCTCTTTTACAATATCGATCATGTTATAATGTCTTCTTGGCGGGAGTCTATATTCATACGAGATCGTTCATTTGGGACGGGTGTAACTTATTGCAAGATGAATGAGGCGGCGAGAACACGGTGCTCTCGATCGAATTCGACCATCTCACACCATAGCTTCTATATGATAATGTGATCAAATGTAGGTAGCTTTCAATTCTTGACTCTTTCGTTCTTACTATTCAAATGACGTTGAAGTTTCGTAGCAGCACCGGCGGCTTCTCGAGGGACAGCTATAAAGACTATTGCTGTGCCATTCTCTGGGATGAAAAGTGGAAAGGAGCCCACATGCCCGCGGCAAGGCCTGCTTGTGCTCTTTTATCCTAAGGAAAATTGCATCCAACGTTTTGGTAAGATTACAAAGACACTTTCTAGGGTTTGTAAAGTTATAAGGGGGCTTTGGTTTTCTGTGAGGAGGTCGTAACGTTTCGCGTTGTCCCTTTCTTCGTACAAATTGTTAGGTAATATTCAGGACCTGCTATCAGTCTAAGGCCGTTTTCTCGTGAGGAACTAGGGTTGGGTTTCGTCTTTGACGTGTGACCATATCAAAGTTTAGAGCCTTCACGTGTCTTGAAATATGTAAAGGTCTATTCACATAACTAAGCCTATTGAAATTTTAGGTTTCAAATAGATTTCCACATAGAAAATCATTGTGATTCTTTTGTGAGAAGAAGATAAATGTGATGGCATGAAGAGAATCGGTCCTCAATTTACGGTGGCTGCTTCCATCTTCCTTGCAATGGAGTTTTCACTGCTGTCATCATCATCGCTCACACTGCGCTTTGAGAAGCCTCCATCGACTTTCAAGAAATTTCGCTTAGCTGCTTTTATTTTCTATGTTCTTTAATACCTTCACTATTAATTTAATGGAAAGGTAAAGTTACCTCTCCATTTCCATCGACTAATCCTTCCAAGCGAAACAAGATGTCATTTTGAAAGTTTCTTCGCGGCATGACGTTACGAGATATAATACTCAAAGTACAAACAAACTCTTTACATAATTGCCGAATCTAGAGCGACGTGTCATCTAAGTAGATCTAGACAACCGAGTTTTCCCTTTTGAGCTAAGAAAGTTCCGGTATAATTTGTTAACGGAAAATGCATGTGAATAGTATATCCCAGATGAAAAAGTATTTTATGCATCCGTGTTATTTTTGTTGCCAATATGATATATAAATGGCACTAGTTAATCATATTTACGAAGTGTTTTTCACAATTATTTTGTAAATTTTAAAATTTCACAATTATTATAAAGATTAATACTACGAAAAATCCCAAATCGGTACACTTATGACAAATTCACCAAAAACTAATTTTTTTACCACAAAAAATTTCAAATTGGTACACTTCAGTAAATTTATCCCAAAAGTATTAGTTTAAGATTTTTCATGATATTAGCCCTTATTATAATCGGTAACATGTATTGTATCCGACATGTGAGATATTTTATGAGAACAAATCCACAACCATGCTCCTTTTTAAAATCAATTATAGATTTAAAAAGTGTCCTTTTTCATTTATTTACTTATTTATTTTCAGGGGCTTTTTCTCTTTACCCTTTTGTGCTTGACATCGAAGTGTTGGGAATGTGATTCCAGTGCTATTCTTGCTACTTGAGACAAGCGAACAAATCCCATCACAAAGATAAACGTTAAAACAACTGTGGCCGTAATCTTCGCGGGGTTCGTATGATTGCATGAGACCTTTTAAAAAAGATAAGGCACCCACCATTCTTGACTTGAGGGGGGCGCGAATTTTTGGATTTACCCATTGCCCTTTTTTTTGGGTTATTATAAATTTGACAATTGAAGTTGAAATTTGTCATTAGTTGTGGAACAGCAACGCCCCTCAGCTCTCCCACTAACATAGTTTGGTTAAAATTCACCTTGCTCAAATCGATTTTGGAGATTAACTTAAATTGCTCTATTGTTGATTGTTCTGCCATGAGATGGTCCCCTATCCATTATTGCTTTTCTAGAACAAATCACGGAGTTCTTGTGAAGTAGGTGACATCTTTCGAGTTTAGTCCAAATCCACTAAAGTTTGTTTCATGTGCGGGCAATTTTTAGGTAGACCTTCTTTATTGATTGGACGAGAGAAACCCGTCATAGAGTGGGCTTTCAATGTGATTTAACGGCTCACAAAACGCAACTTGTACTTTTTTTTAGGATTAATATCACGAAAAATCCTAAATCAGTATATTTGTGACAAATTAATCAAAACTAATTTTTTGACCACAAAAAATCCTAAACTAGTACACCTATAATAAATTCACCCAAAACTAATTTTTTGACCACCAAAAATCCCAGACTGATACTTTTATGACAAATTTTCCCTTCATTAATTTCTGTTAAATTGGATTAATACCATAAAAAATCACAAATTGATACACTTGTCAAACGAAGAGTAAAACCCAAAACTAGTTCATTCGTCAACTGCAGCGTGTCATTTAACAAAGCAATTTGACAGAAAAATTTAAGGGAAACTAACAAAGGGTAAATTTGTCACAGATGTACCAATTTGGAGTTTTTCGTGGCATTAACCCTTTCTTTTTCTTTTATACTGGACAAATAGAAAGTTTTTGTATGGCACGTGTATTAAGTAACTGAAATAAACCACCCGCCTGGGTGGCGCTGCTGGAGCGCGCACTCTTCCTCTCGTAAAAGGTTGAGTGTTCGAATCCCGGGTGCCGCAGGGTGACTTAACCGGTGCACGTGTGTGGTGGCTAGCACATGTCGCCCCTAGGGTTTACCTCCCGGCTGTCGGCTGTGCGGGGGTTCCCTAGGTCATAAAAAAAAAAAAGTAACTGAAATAAAAGAGGTTTGACACACAAACGAATTGCCCTCCAAATCCAGATCAACAAACATGGGACAAAGTATTAATTTTAATGATTTGGAACCCAAAATAAGAGTCATCTTATTAACGTGCATGTAATATTTTGGGGAAAATTTGTACAAAAAGTCCTAAACCTATTGTACCGTGGCCAATTCAGCCTCAAACCTTTCAATTGTGCGAATTTAATTCTTAACCTTTTGAGAATTTCCAATTTAGTCCTAAACCTTTTAACGAACCACCAATTCAGTCCTTCCAGCTAATTTTGGCGGAAATCGCTGATATTGCAGTCCAGCCAACGCCAGCAGTCCTATGTGGTGCAGCCAGTACTGAAGTGGACAATTTTTTTTTTAAATTCTTTCGAATTTTTATTGGCTGCTTTATTTTTCTTTATTCTTTTCTTTCTTTTTATCTCCATTGGGTCAGTGGGGCCACCTGCCAATAGCTGAGGGCCGGTGACCTCCGCCGGCCACTAGGCAAGATAAAAAATCAACAAAAATTAAAAATAGTCTATGTTAGCAACGGCTGCACATCGTCGAATAGCCGACACTGATTTGACCGCCATGTTAGCGATTTCTAATTAAAATTAACCGGGAGGACTATATTGGCAATTCGTTAAAAGGTTTATGACTAAATTGGCAAATCATCAAAATGTTCAGGACTAAATTGACATATAGCCGTCTTACAATAGTTTAGGAATGAATTCGCACAATTGAAAGATTTAGGATTACATTGGCTGCTGTACAATAGTTTTAGAACTTTTTGGACAAATTTTTCAATATTTTGGATGAGAGAGAATGTAGTAGTTTAGGGGAGTACGAACGTTTTTGATTTCCTAGCCCTAGTTAAGTACAATTTTAGTCTTTTAGGTTTTACTATTTGTACGAGTCGGTCCTCCAGCTTTTATTTTGTGCAATCAAGTTATCTATTTTTCTTG